TTGCTTATGTTTCTATGAAGAATTTCAGGTTATATCAAATAGATGTCAAGAGTTCCTTCTTGAATGGTTATTTAAATGAGGAAGTGTATGTCTCTCAAACACCTAGATTTGAGGATCACAAATGTCCAGAACATGTGTTCAAACTAAAAAAGGCCTTATATGATTTAAAGTAAGCACCAAGACAATGGTACCAGCGGTTAAGCAATTTTCTCATTTCAAAAAACTATCAAAGAGGTGTAGTTGACAAAACTCTTTCTTAAAATGATATAATTCTAATACAAGTTTATGTTCATGACATCACTTTTGGGCTATTTATATAAGAACTTTGTAAAGGAAATGTAGGGGGAGTTTGAGATGTCAATGATGGGAGAACTCAATTACTCCCTAGGACTGCAAGTTAAACAATTGAAAAGGGAAGCTTTCTGCATCAATCAAAATACTGTGCAGAATTGCTCAAGAAGTTTGAAATGGAAAGTTGCAAAGAAGCATCTACTCCCATGTCCATAAGTTGCTATTTAGATACTGATGAGAAAGGGAAATCTGTCGATCAATCCAAATATAGAGGACTCATTGATTTAATGTTGTACCTTACGGCTAGCATGCCTAATATAATGTTTAGTGTTTGCATGTACACTAGATTTCAATCATCACCAAAAGAGTCTCATTTCACAACTGCTAAAAGAATATTAAAATACCTAAAAGGAAGTGTGAATGTTGGTTTGTGGTACCCTGATGAGTCTCAATTAAACTTAATTGGATATTCTGACTTAAATTTTGCAGGTTGCGAACTGGATAGGAAGAGCACCAGTAGAACATGTCACTTGTTAGGTAGTAGCTTAATCTCATTGCATAGCAAGAAGAAAGCTTGTGTGGCTCTGTCAACTATAGGATTATGGTTGAAACAACAATTATAGGATTATGATTTGACTCCTCATAAAATTCTTCTACTCTGTGATAATACTAGTGTGATAAATTTAACTAAAAATCCAATCCAACACCCAAGAACTAAAATACATTGAAATAACACATCACTTTATAAGAGATCATGTTTCTAAAGGTGATCGTGAAATGTTTTTTTTTTTAAACAAATAAGCAATTAGCTGATGTTTTTACAAAACCCTTAGCTCGTAATCGTTTTCACATTATTAGAACTTAATTAGATATTTTAGATTTATAAAAAATTACATGAACTCACAATTACTGATAAAATTAATTGATATCAATTGTCTTTTAATCAATTAAAATCTTGAAAGATACACTTGTATTGAAAATTATTGGTTTTTAATCGATTAGTTACTCAAAATAATTGATTAAAATCCCTTTAAATCGTCTTGTATAGAATGGTACTCACTGTTTTAATCGATTATTCATCAAATTAATCGATTAAAAGCTCTCTGGATTGTGTTTTAAATTACAGTATCTCTAAATTAATCGATTAAAAAGAAAATTATATCAGTTGATTTCACATAAGTTCCATATTATTAAGAAATTTAATCGATTATCTATCGATTTAACAAATTAATATCTTGTATGCATTAGTTTTATTTCATATCCAGTACAATTTAATTGATTACCTCGTAAAATAATCAATTAGATTATTCTTGGGAATATTCAAATGATCTATTACAGGTATTAAACATATCGTGTTCTAGGTCAACATTAGTTCAAGAGAAAATTCGAATTGGGGAATTCCGATTGGGTTGTGAATAAGACAAATGTATTTGACTGAGTCAACCCTCATCTTCAAGAACATTTTAGTTGATACAATAAAAGTAGTTGCTACCCACTGCACAAAAACTATACTATTGTTGTTGGTCAAGGGAACCACTGCAAACCCAAAAGCAAAAAGCAATTGTCGGAGTCTTGAAGTCTAATTTTGACCGGTTCATGGGCTCATTTAGTACTCAACCAACCAACTCTGCTCATCCATTAAATAATAGAAGGGACTTGAACTTAGATTTCACCACTCACTTGTTTTCTTTTTCGAAACCTCAATCCTTCTTACTCTGTTGCTCTCTCAAATCTCTATCACAATACTCTCAAACATGTTCAAAAGATCAAAATCTGGTAGAAAGAAAAGCAAGGGAGAATCATCCTCACAAGTTGTTGAAGGTAATCCAGGTGGTCACCTAGAAAGGTTGTTCAATTGTGATCTCAATAAGATGAATTAGGTCATTGCTAATTTCAGCAATAAACAACTAGTCATGCCAAAGTATCTGCACTTTAATTGGCTAGATAGAGAAGACTTCTCCAACTTGCATCATCAGCTACAACACCAAAAATTGAAGACCTTCTTGGAACTTCAAGGACTGATTCAATCGGATTTGGTAAGGGTTTTCTATACAAATCTATCTGTAGATGGTTCCACCATTCGCTCCCAAGTCAAAGGGGTAAACATTGTGGTTACAACTGCCGTTTGGAAGCAAGTTGCTGGTCTGAAAGATGAAGGAATGAAAGTGTCCAAAGAAAATGTATTAGAGATTGAAGACTTCAACAAGATTCAGTTCTTCCAATCTTGCCTCAGACAAAAATAATTCAGTAAGGACTCTCAATGTCGGGAGAATGAGGTTGGAACCAAGACTTCTTGCCTTCATCATTGCCTGGCAGTTGACACCCAAGGAGAGCAATCATACTCTTCTAAATGAAGGGGACTTGGCCTTAATGGACTGTATCTAAAATCGAATAAGGGTGAACTAGGTATATGTGATCAAGGTAAAAAGGTTAAGTGATTTTTGTCTACTATATGCTATGTTGATTGCTAAATTCTTTACATTTTTTGGAGTAGATTTTACAGGAAAATATGAGGAAATGTCCAAGATTACTAATGAAATTGATGAATCCATACTGTGCAAGGTGAGTTTTATCAAGGTCGATGGAAACTAGATTTCTAAAGTTGAAACTGGAATGAGTGATGATGATGATTATGATAATGATGAAGAGGAGAATGTACCACATGAACCAAGGACAGGTGAAGCAAATAACATGGTTGGAGCATTCCAAAACATTGAGTTGATTCCTTATTATGAGGGACCAGATCAAGGGACTCCATTATCTTAGTTTGAGAGGACGATGCTGTCTCAAATGACTTCTTTGCAGGAAAACCAGGGGAAGCACATGCAGATTACATACCAATATTATCAAGAGTCCAACAATCAATTAGGAGATATCTACATCACGCTGGATGACCTGCAGTTCAACTAGGGTCAATAGCAGGATTAAAAATCCGTTGCTTCATATTATCCTCTGGGTTTCGTTTCTTGAACATTTCTTTTCTCTTTTGTTGTTTGTATTCTTTACTGGTCTATACTGTTAACTGGCTTCTAACAAGAACTTCAGATTTTGAATGCGTTTGTATGGCATTGTTTAGCTTGATCCATGCTTTTTTTTCCTATTTTGATGAAGTCAAAAGGGGAGAAAAGAATTGAAATGGACAGCATATGTGTAATAACTTCATCAGACACACACAACAAATTTTTTTTCAGATTCAAGATTATTTGTCTTCATCAAATAGGGGGAGACTGAAGAAGATCATGGGAAGAATCTTGAAAGATTTGAAAGATTTGTTGGAAGATTTGATGAAGTCAAAAGGAAGATGTGTTAGTCTATAGTGTGTTTGCATTAAGTATCATAGGTATATGTATCTATCCTTTCCTCAAGCATGGGTTTCTTCTTTCAAAAATTAAAGTAAAAGTGCCTCAAGAATTTTTAATCTGTTAAAAATTGTTTTAATATGTTAATATGTTCTTCAGTAAGCTTTTTAACTTATATATTTTCGAATTAATCGATTAATTTTAATTAAACAGTCAAAGAACTTTATGATTCACAATTTTAATCGATTAAGGAAGTTTTTAATCTGTTAAAATGTTCTTAACTTAGTTTTGGAAAACCTTGGTTCACATATTTAACTGATACATGACCAATTATGAGTTAAAATCTCTCTGGAAAGTATCTAGAGTTAGTTTAATCTATTAATCCACTTTTGTTATCAGTTAAAACGTCTCTGGAAAATATCCAGAATTCTTTTAATCGATTAATCCACGTTTTTATCAATTAAAACATCTCGGGAAAAAGTATCAGAACCATTTTAATCGATTAAATCACTTTTTCATCAGATTTAACTACTTAAACTTGATCTCAACTTGTATTTCTAACACTTTCCCCAACACAAACCAAATGAGCCTACCAAATTAGGCTATGACTAAGAAGAGCTATAGACTCTAGTACCACGTCCTTACCAACACGCATTAAGGTAAGTTACCTTACAAATATATAAGTCGTACCTTGCAAATTGAGGCAAAAGATGTGAGATTCTCCTCAATAAGTTGCATGTTGGAATACTTTCACATCACCTGCCTCAATTTTTGGGATGTGAGTTATATATCTATTAAGAAACTTCCCTTAATGCCTATTGGTATTAAGTTGAAATATGACATTGTATTAGCATTTGTAGTTCTTCTTAGTCATAGCCTATTATGGTAGGCTTTTTGTTTTGGCAGGCATTTGTCAAGGGGTTGTTGGGAAGAGTCCCACATTGCTTGCCTCAATTCACGAGGTATAACTTGTATATCTATTGGACTCTTCGCTTAACACCAATTGATATTAAGTTAAAATCTGACATTAGTGAGATGATTGGAAAGAGGATTCATATTCATGATCATTCACAAAGTAATTAGGTAAGTGGATTATTGTATTCTTAGAATTTAGGCCTAAACCTAACCCAACCTCACAAAGTAATTTTGTGAGGTGGGGATTTTCCCTATTTATATACACTATTTTGGTCAAACAATTAGTTGGTGTAAGATTTCCAACATGTATGATTTAAGACTTTTTATTGTTAGGACGGCAAGTGGATTGCTGTATTATGTATGATATTTATGTTTAGTATTGTATGTTACTGGTATATCAATTGGTGTTATTCTTGGAATAAGATATACAATTTTCAATAATTAATAATAAGACTTAAACAAGTAAGCACAATTTAAAAATTACATATACAATAATCATAATATTATCGTGTCAGTCTCCATCACTTGATATTTATATTTGTACCAGAGATCAGTACAAGAAGTTTGAGGATATTGTACTGCACCTGTAAAGTCAACAGCCACCATAAAGTTCAATTCAAATCCCCCCGCCAAGTAATCCAGAAAAGTATATTGGACACTTTCAATAAATTTGTCCACAAATAGTTGGCTCTTTAACACCTGTTACAGTCACATAAGCTTTAAGGGAAAGACAGGAATTCATGATAGAAATTAATCTAATAAAAATATAAGACCTTGTTATCATGGTTTTGTCCACCAGAAGATGGCAAACATAAATTTTCTCCTTTGCCATTATTATGAATGTTCTCCAACTCAGCCAAAGATCTTTCCACTTTTCTGATAAATCAAGAATAAACAACCCTAATACGTATTTCAGCAAAGACTTAGACATAACGGAACACGGATAGATAATCAAAAAGGAGCTACTGTTTACCCAATTAAATCATGTTTTCCATTGCTATTAAAGTTATAGCACTCTATTATCAAAGTACTCTCCTGTACATTATAAAAAAGAAAAATTAGATAGCTTCAATTCAACTATATGTAGAACATCAGGCCAAAATGTACATGGTCAATGTTAACCAGTATTATGTAATGATAAAATGAAGAAATTGTTGAAGAATAATATTTCTAAATTATAGTTTTTTTTTTTTTTTTCAAGATCCGAGTGCACATTTTGAACGCAAAGTAACTTGATCAAATGCTTGCTATTTGAAGAAACTTTTGAAACCAAAACAATTATGAAACTTTAACAGGCAATGAAAACTAAAAATGTCAGTATAAAAGCATGATGGCGAAGTTCAACATTAAACATTATTAGATAAATGGCTAAACGAAATGACACAATTGTATTTAAGTTATATACCTTGCTTCCTACTTGTTGAATATTCACAAACACAGACTTCCACATTGGGTTGAGATCATTCCTTATAACTTCTGTTTTGCAAATTGGAATTTGGACACCACCTTCTACAACTTTTGATATCAACAAAAAGGGGTCCTGCAAGATAAACCAAAGAATGTATTATATATATAGCAAAGAGAACACTCCTCATAATGTGAAAAGGAAAAAGAAAACAGAAACATACATTTCTTGCGAAGAGATCCTTGTATTCCAAATCTGAACACCTGAATGCCATTTCTATTGCAGTCTTTGAGCTAACACATTCCTCAGCATGAACCATGAGTTTCCCGCAGTTTTTGGGAAGGGTAGATCTCAAAGAATCTTCTGTGTATAGATCTATAGTCAATGATTGATCACGTTGTGTGATTATCTGCAGAAGCTAATTTGTTAATATTGATGGGCACAATTGTTACGATATAAATTTACAGTAATGCAAAGGGAAAAACAATTTGAGTAAGCATTTCTTTATTGGTTTAAAAAGCTTTTAATATGCTCGGTAGTTACCAAATGGACTATAACCTTAAAACAGAAAGGTTACACATTTTCAAGATCATAAACTTGGATCAACAATTACATTGTGGATCATAAGGATCCAACTTCTTTTGTAGTGCAATAGATTCTTTTTCATTGTCAGATTTGTGTCAACAAAAAGTTTAACATTCTGTGTTACCTGAGATAGTACACAGGTAGCCTCACCAAGAAATTGCTGCTCATCTAGCTCAAGCATCTGCATAAGTCAATCAAATAGTTATAATCTGGACCATTTTACATTGATAATCTCTACTAACGTTTTATCACTACTTGTGAGCAGGAAATGAAGAAGGCTAACATGTCAAAAAAATATTTTGTCATGGAATGAATTGGGAGATGATCATTGCCCAACCTTATGAGGAGTTTTGCAGAATGTAAGCCATTCGGAAAAAATTTAAGCTGTCTTAAGTTTTTATCTAGTGGTCCACAAGAAGACTGTAAGTAAACAATTAATGCAAATGATAGCACCAAAATTGTCTAATCTTTGCTCATGCGTTATAAAGTAGACGGTTTTACTTATCACCTAACATGCTATAATTACTTTTCAAATTTTAATAACCATACAGAAATAAAAGAAGCATATAACATGAATATCTTCACTCCAAAAAGTCTAGAACTTAAACATGAAAAAAGAAAGAAAGAAAAGGCAATGCAGTGGTCCAAAAGGTAAACATAATCACACGGAAAGTAACTCTGGCAGCAACACAAATATATAAAGACTTGAAACGTTGCAAGTAATGAGATCAACATGGATTAGAATGTTTGCAAAAGCATACACATGAAGTTACTTTACATGCAATACAATTAAATAGAAAAATGTAATATAAATACCCTAACTTAGCCAACTTTCAAGAATATTAATTGATAAGTTCGTATTGCCAAAAATATCAGTCATTATTATTGCTTGATGAACTGCAGAAAACATGAAACTATTAACAGTAAGTATGTAATACATACGTTTTCCAACCCTCATATTTCTTTTATATGAACTCCTAAATCTCAGAATATCATATCAAGAGACAATCCTCAAAAGGATGGATTATCATTTTTACAATGGTTACATCTACACTGTTAAATAAGATAACTGAACATTAAATTATCACACCCTATCTCAAGCTAGATGATACCTATACATTTTCCTTCCTCAATGTCTTAATAGAAATTACAATATTCTCGGAAGCGGAATCGTTGGAACAAATTTCTCATTACAATCAAGAAAGTTGGGAAAAAAATTATTGAAGCTTTCTAATTTGCTATAAATTTGTATTTGGAAGTAAAAAGAAAATATGTACAGAAGTATGGATAATCAATAAAATAATATAGATAGCATTACCAATATAAAGGCATTGACAGAAATATTTCATTCATTCAGGTACTGACTTATAACAGCTGTATGCATAGATTCGTTAACATATTGGAACCACATCTTAGTCAAAAAGGAACTAAGTATACAAGCCATCATAAAACACTATACCTTTATATCTACATTGTGAAACTGAGTATCAACATCATACAGACGAAACCTGTGATGAAAGAATTTTTACAGAAAAAATCTGGTAAAAATAAAAAATGCTCATCTGCCTTAGTGCAAGTATAAAATATCAGATTCAAACTTACACTAAAACCTGAACAACCTCAAAGTGATAAATGAGGGTGTGTTTAGTAATCCATGCTGGACTTGATGAATTCAGAACTACTTCTGTTCGGTGAAGTTCCTCAAGTGCTCCATTTTTTCCTTTTGCATAAAGAACCATCATCGGATTACTCTACATCAAAGAAAAGTTAAATACAAAATATCCTAACTCTTTGTGATAGAATCAAGATTCACTACTGAAAGATAAGAATATTAGCTATTAAAAGCATTTTTCTTTACTTTTATAATAAATGACAATCCTATAAACAGATGAACGCTTAACCGCGGCCCTCGTTCATCAATGTGGTTTATTTTCACAACTATGTTGATGAGATCTAGTAGAGTCTAGTCTGAAACACGATGGCAAATAAGCTACTAGATTTTGAGGAATTCAACATGATCTCTTTCATTATTTATTTTGTTAACACAAGGACGTATTATTTATATGAAACTTACTTGTTGATATATTTAATAAAAATTATTAGGACATAAATTGTTACACTTTCTTCTGCTTTGACTAATAGGCTCAGTTTGCACTTGGCTGGGATTAGTGTATTTTCTTTTCTTCCTGTATTTTGAGTACTTGATGAAAAAACTTCTTGACAGAGTTTGCAGTTCATGAATTTATGACCCCAAGCACTTGGCTGGGATTAGTGTAAAATTAACTAGTTCTGATTGGAATGGTCATAATTTTTCCTATTATTTGTTTCTTTTTTCCTAAATGTCCGTGCTGATAACTTGCCAAAGAAAAGACTAATATAAGCGATAATTGAGCTGGCATAAAATATAGATTAATTACTAATCAGCTAATTAAGCAAAAGCAGAAACAGAACGATCGAGTAGTGTATAAGTTCGATTCCAATTTTGAACCAAACGGAACCAAAACAAGTTTATCTATAAATAACTAAATTAAATAGGTAAGTTTAGATGCAAGAGGTTCAGATTCACGAAACGCTTAACCGACGGAAACGAACCTTGAAAAGCACATCACGATCACGCAAGCCTGAAGCGGAAAACGACAACTGCAGCACAATAAGAGGTAATTGTGATGTAAAAGCTCTTTCATAACTGAAAGTGAGCGAAAAGGTACGAACATAAACAAACACGCTGAGAAACTGGTTAAGAAGCAAAAGAAAGAACCTCGATCTGAGAGAAGAGGCCGTGGTAGCCGCGACACCTGAGGAAGTTCTCGACGGCGTCGTTTGAAGCACCGGCAAGATTGCGGAAATCGCCGGCGGTGCCGCCGATGGCTGCGCGGCCTGCCGCAACTTCGGAGAAGCAGTTTCCCATCGAAAAGTGCCCGCGCAGTGTAGTGCGTGTGTGTGACTTGACCTCAGTCTTTCCGTCAAACTCAGCAGTGACCGGAGAATGAGGTAAACAGAAAACTGAAAGGAACAAAACCAAATACACACACAAACAGAGGAATATCCAATTATATAATCTAATTTGCAATTTGACAAATTTTTATGTTACTTTTCCCAGTTCATACAGTGTGCTCATTTCATTGCTTTTTCTTTGGTTGAAAGAAACCCGTTTTGTTTTGCCTATACTTTTGTATAATTTTATATTTTCTTTCAAACCTTTTTTCAAAAAATTTAACTCATGCCTCTTTTTTCATGTTATTGAATTATCAATTTTGCATGCACATTACAATTGAAGTTACGATCGTTTTCCACTTCAATTTCTCTAGTTGATAGGAAAAACTTTCTTGACTGTTAGTGTGACCAGTGGCGGGTCTTGATTAGATAAAATTTCTAATGAAGCATCTTTAAATAAAGAAAACCCACCTCTCAAATTTGAATTTAGAAGACTAATTAAAAATTAAAACGGTCCACCTATTTTAACAAGTGATAAGTTTATAGCCTGTGGTTCTAATCTAAGGCAACATCCAATTTACCAAGGTGAACTATTCTAAATGGAAGTAGCACAATACGAGCCATATATTCGAGGATGAAATTGCAACTAATAATAGAACATAAAAGTAAGTTTAAGAAACATGTATGCAAGAAAAGTAGAAGTGTGGTGTGACTGTCCCACTAAATTGGATTGAATATAAAGATTAGACTCCAATACTAGTGGTGGAGAAGATTTTATGAGCCTAGTAGAAAACAAACTAAAGTAACCCTAATAATGTGCGTCTTTTTTTTTATATATTTTTTTAAAACGTAGACGCTGGTCCAATCCAACCCTAAAAAGTAGGGTTTGATTTGATGATCATGGTTGGGAATTGAGGGATTCCTTTGACCTATCTTCACAACCCCCAAAAGTGGGCAACCAGACACGAGTTGAATTGTCTGATCAACTTTCACACAGAAAAGGAACCTCCATCCATGCATCACTTCTCCTCCACCATGTTTTACGTTCAAATAATCTTTCCACCTCTTTCTTTTAACTACCAATAAGTACAGCACCACCAAAAAAAAAAATATATATATATATATATATATATTATTATTATTATTATTATTATTATTATTATTATTATTATTATTATTATTATTATTATTATTATTATTATTATTATTATTATTATTATTATTATTATTATTATTATTCATTGTCAACCTCTACCTTCCTCTAATTTTCTTAGATATGGAATTGATTAAATATATTCTTAAAATTGAAATATATTATTTTAGTCATGATCAAAATTGTTTAAAATATATCAAAAGTATTTATATAAACAATTTTAGTTATGAAATTCTCATTAAAATAATTTATTTTATTGTCAAGTTTTATAAATATTTGTAATAAATAAATCTCATTCTTTGTGTTTAAATTTTCGTATCATTATAATAAATATATTATTTAAATTGTAACTAAATAATATGCTTGTTTGTTCCAGTGTTTTATTTCCATGGAAATTCTGATTAAATAATATATTGATATTTTAAAAATATTTTAGAAAATTGAAATAAATACAAAAAAATTAAAAGAATATATTTTAAAAAAAAGTCATTCTTTTAAAAAATTAACAAGCAAAACCTAAGCCGTGCTAATTAATGTACATAAAACGAAGAATGAAAAAAAAAAAAAAAATACCCGTTGAAGTAAATTATAATTTGCCCTCCAAATTTAGTTTCTTATTGGTGAAGGAAGCAGTAGGTGAAGAAAGGAATATGAAATAAATAATAATGTTATCCCCTTGTGGAATTAAAGAGTGTCTTGAAAAGATTTTACACGTGATGTGATCCCAAACTTCACCTCTTGCATGCCAATGGTGAAATCATGAGGACGAGTCATCCTTCCGTGTCCGACTGATTAAAAAAGAACCAACATTAATACCAGTATGTAAACGTCAAACTATCTAACGAAAATATATCAAGCACTTAAAATATCGGATGTCCTTCGGTATAATCGCAATATATATATATATATATATATATATATATATATATATATATATATATATATATATATATATATATATATATATCGATAATTATTTAAATATTATTATATAAAAATTTAAAATTTTTATATTATATTGAAGTATTTTTTCTATTTTACATTTTTATTTATTTATTAATTTTAATATTAAAGAATTTTTATAAATAATTCTATTTATTTTCAACATATATTTCTTAATAGATAGGAAGATACAAGACGAAAGTCACTCAATCTTAAAATCCAAGTGATTTGATATCCATTATGTAAAAATATAAAACTTGCTGTAAATCATAATCTAGAGTTTAGAAAAGACCACCATCAAGTTTCCCACCTCCAAACATGGTTGCAACCCCTATCTATTCTAGCTTTAAAGTGCATACTGCGAAGATGTAATAACAAATAAACATCCAACAAGAGTCTAATCTAATTGTCCTATTGATTGATGTGGTACTCGGTCAAATAATTAAAACAGATAAATGTAGTATTAGAAAGTTTTTCTAGGTCATTTCTCAAAGACCACGAATTTCGATCAAAGCTTATCAATTTTTCAAATTAGAACAACAACAAAAGGGGTTTTTTCAGAATTAAAATATTAGATGAAACAAAATAAAAGCAGATTATAAAAATACAGATTAAAAAATATTATAATGTAATTGATTTCACGATTTCAATTGAGTGTCACTTATCCTAGGTTACGAAATTAATTTGAAATTAACCAACTAAGCCAAGTTAAATCCCAAATTATATTTCAATCCAAAATTAATCAACTAAGCGAAGATTAATCCAAAATTAGCTTTAATCCTTATTTCAATATGAAATTAACCAATTAAGCGAATATTAACCCCAGATTATCCTTAACCCTTATTCCAATATGAAATTAACCAACTAAGCGAAGATTAACCCCAAATTATCCTTATACAATTAAGCATTGCATACATCACATAATTTTATCTCTAACACAGAATTAAGCAAACTGTGATATTAGTTATGATTTATTAAGCATAAACAAATTATAGTTTAATACTGAGATTAGAAAATGAAGAGTTAAGAGAACAAACGAACTGAAATTGAAGAACAAAACTTCAAAGATCTACTTGCATTCTCGTCAAAAAATTAATACAAAGATTTAGTTATCCATGAAAAATCGAAAACGCAGAAGAAGCGACATAATTAAAATCGAAACAAGAATTTAAAATAATGACAGGAATACAAATTGCAAAAGATGAAAGGCGGTTGCGTGGCTGCTACGTGGTGTTCTTTCCTCTCAACCCTACATCTCGCTTATATAAATAATGTTAGAATCACGCAACAGAATGTTCGCGTCTAGGGACAAAAACCAAGAGGGAGGGTGAATTGATTTCTTATAAAAAATTAGGGTTTTAAAATTTTCTCCAAATTTCACCGATTAAAATGCTTGTAATGTAAAGAGATAAGGGAAAGAAGATTACATGGTTCGAATCAAAAGACCTTACGTCCAATTGTTAATCACTCTAAAAGAGGATTAACGTTGTCACTATAATCACAAGTTACAACAGATTACAAATTGAAAAAGATAAGGAATAGAAAACACATCTCTTGAGTCACACAAGAGATGAGCACCTCCTTTGAATCCATAAAGGATGAATAACAGTTTTTCCTAGAGACGGCACAACACACAATCCACCAAGAAACTCACTCAGTGATTCTTGTCGCTTCTAGCCCACACTAGGTTTTCAAAAGCCCCTTTTTCTTCCCTATAGGAAGTTCTCTAGCAGTCACAACTCTTAACTTTTGCATGAAAATGGTTTGTTATTTTGCAGAGAGCCTTAGAGAACCTTAAGTAGAGAGAATAGGGTCTGGGAAATGATGATTTTCAAAAACATAAGAATTGGGAATAGGGTTTTCGTAAATTGGTCCAAATTTGAATTTCAAAACGCATAACAGACGTAGATAATCAATTATCTTGAGTGATAATCGATTATTACATAGCCATTTTCGCAGAGGAGTAAAACAAGAGCAGGATAATCAATTATTTGTGTAAATAACCGATTATATAGTTGGGATAATCGATTATCCTAAATGATAATCGATTATCACAACAAGGTTTTAAGAAAAAAACAATTTTTCAGTGCAGGATAATCGATTATTCTAAGTGATAATCGATTATCACAGAGTGGATTTGATAAAAATGAGTTTTCAGATAATGGACTATGTGCTGGCTATCTTGTACTCTAATTATACAGACTCAAAAACGTAAAACAGAGTTATTACAAGTAAAATACACATGATTCTAAGTCTTTAAGTCTTTTGTTCTTGAATCACCATCAAAATCTTCAAGCTTCATATCCTTGTATGTTTAACAATCTCCCCCTTTTTTATGATGATCAAAATTTTCTTTAAAGCCCTTTGTAATAACCTATTTTAACTGTCACAACTAACAAAACTATTAAACATATCAGACATCATTAAAATTATTAAACATATGAGGCTTTAAATAATTTCTCCCCCTATTTTGATTATAATAAAAAAATGAAAGCTCCCCCTCAATAAGTGCATAAGATAGAAAACAACTCCCCCTCAATCAATGCGAAAATAAAATTTTATTCCTTAAAGCAATTTAGTACAAACAAGAAATATTTGAAGAGATTAGAACTCTTCACTCTCATTACTATTAAACTGTGCGTCAAATTTGTCTTCTAAATTACACTCCCGATCGTCTACATTCGAAATGCGTTTGATAATTTCTTGATGTTGTTCTTGAGATATAGAGAAGAATTCCTGCATTCTCTTATTCATGTCAAACAACATGTCTTCCATGGAAGGATGGGATGTAGAGTGAGCAGTAGATGACGTTCCAGTAGCATGAATATTTTCAGCAGGCATATCAGCAGCAGACATGTCCTCATCATCAGAATTTTGAG